ATTCAAATATATTAGTACACCAACCGTGAATTCGCATTTAGGGCATAAAACCTGTTCCTTTCAGAAAGAAATCAAACGCAAACATTTGGGAGAAAACTGCGACCCAGGGGAACATAAAAATTAAGTTTTTGCAAAAAATAATTGCAGGAAGCAGAGTTAAAACTAGAAGACAGGCGTATTGAGGCTTTGAAAGTTTTCAATAGAGTGGGAAAGTTCTCTCTCTCTCTCCCCAATATTTATTCCCTCCACCATACATCTTGAACAGCATAAAATTCTATCAGTCAGTCTTTTGTCTTTAGGCAGGCCAACTTCGAAGAGGGACTTATCGGACCACGATATCTTATAGCGCCCATATAACGGTAACCTCCGGTTTTCGGTATTTTGATGATTTTAGCGACATTTTCACCGGAATCGTTTCAAATTTCGTATTTAAAATTCATATATGGTACTACTACCTATGACGGAAAATTGCCTATGTAGGTTCATTATATTCGATATTTGGATGATATTATCGACATTATTCACTGGAATTGTTTCCAGTTTTATGATATTATAGTAATTTTTTAACGGATTTTTTTTTTAAATTTCGTATTTAAAGTCACGTCTTCAATTTTCCTTTGAGCGGTATTTTTCGACGAAATTTTGTGGACTTTTTTCAGGATCCTTAAAAATACTGGAGGTTATTCTTCTTCTTCTTTTTGCTTTTTTTTCCAAAGTCGGTTCAGACTTATATATAGCTCCCAAAATTGGTTCAGACTTATATATAGCTCCTAAATATTACAAAAATATATATTATATAAAATGGTGACTATTCAAGAGATAAGCCGCTGCCCTATCCTAAACTCTCACAACATTCAATATTTGGCGTTGATTGGTCTATTCATTTACCTGTAGAGCGACTCCCGAAAAATTATATTTTGGCCATTTCACCACATAAATAAACACATAGCTCTATTCAGCTCTTTTCAAACTTATTGGCCCAATCAAACACTGTTTTTGGGGTATAACCAATAAAGAAAAGTTCAGAATTCTCCAGACACAATAGTTCAACGAATTGGTATCCGGAAATTTTGGTAGCCAAGCAAGGAACCCCATTTTGTAACCATTCTTGGGTAACGCGTGCTTAGTGCGATGTTGCTGAGTCCTGTTGGAATGTCCAAGGTCTGCGGCCAAAATGTTTGCATACCCCAAGCTTAAATGCACCCTCCAGAATGTTTTCGCGAAAATATTCGCCATTTATTCTGATGCCACGGTCAATTAATATAGCGGAGAGCGACCATCGGCTGTTATGGCGCCCCACACCTTTACCATGACCGAGGCTTGAGTTCTGGTGGCCAGTCGAAGGTGCACATTTCCAGCTGACCTCTTTGGCAAGTAAACACGATCATTTTGTTTGTTTACAATCTGCTGGACAACGAATATTTTCTCATCGGAGAAACCCAAATTCGGCAGTTTAGCACTTTCGGCTAAACGAAGCAACTCTTTAGCTCTTTTAAGTCTGTTATATCTTCTTTCTGCTGCGGTGTAAGTTCTTGCATGGTTTACCCCGAACTCATTTTTCAATATTTGTTCAGCGCACAAGCCATTTGTCGGCCACGGCGACTCGGGTTTCGATCAAGTCGCTTCCTTACTTTTCGAACAATTTCTGCTGATGTTGCTGTTTTCTTTCGTTCACTTCCTTGACGTCGGCTACGCTACCAGTTTCACGGTAACGAGCGATGGTACGAGACACAAAAAAATTATTCACATTTAAATACTGGAGTGCTCTAACGATAGCCACTTGTGGTTTTCCAGCCAAATATAAAGAAATCACGCTCTCACGCTTAAATTCCATCACGAATAACTTTTTTTTCTGGAAAATTCTCACCAGAATACTTTTGTACGCTTGTAAACAATATAATGAGCCGTCATTGTGGAATGATTTTAACAGCTGTCGGACGAGTGGCTTAGAGATGACAGCAGTCTGAAATTGGTTGAAGTTTTTTCATCTCACCCTGTATAGTCATATCTTAACTGATTTTCTCCTAATTTAAAGCGCTTGTTTCTACGCCGAATTCGAAAATGAAAATCCACTTCATTCGGGCGGATATTAAGCATTAATTACCAATAACCGTGAAACCGGATGAGGATAATAATGGGAGATATATTCCAATCTGAGCAAATCTCGATAAAATTCGGCGGAGCTGTATGAGATATATTGTAGCAAATATTACTATTGTTTTGAAGTGAATGTGAGGGATTTAAATGCCAAATCGGATGAAACCTGTATATGGGGCCTATAGCCATATTTTAACCGATTGAAACCAGAACGTGCCTCTAGGCTGAATTCGGTCGTACATACCAAAATCCAATCCATTTGGGTTGATATCAAGGCAGAAATGGCTTTACAAAATAGCGACATTTTATACGAAATTTCAAGTAGTACCACATGCTGATATGAAAAATAAATCCACTAAATAATCTATATTTTCACACATTTGTAATATCACTTTGTCCGTTTAATTTTTTTATAAATTTTGTCGTCTCCGTCTTAGTTTGTCTAAACCTGTTTTAATAGTATAATTTATTTATAGTTACACTGTTCGATAATGTTTTTCCTTGAAGGACTGCAATGATGACTTCTTTAAAGAGTTTCCAGAATCCCTACTCCATATTCTCAATATGATTACATCTACACACAAAGCAACATTTACATTTGTCTTCTTCCTGCAACCTTGAAGGATAATAAAGAAAATGGAGCTCAATCCAACATAACTAAATCTTATCATTCCTTTCCAGAGTTGCCCAAAAACAACTGCTCCAATGTCTTCCACATACAGTCATCTGAAATATTTCATTACTTCCCGGTTTTGTTTAAAATTATATACATTTTTTAATTTGCAAGATAACTGAGATTTAACCTCAGGCTCAATCTAACTGTGAGAAATATAAACTCACACAAAATTTTCCATGCCACTATTAAGGACATTTTCTTTATTACAAATAACGTTCATTATAATTAATAAAGCCACTCACAAATTGTAGTTTTAAATTTTGTTGCCCAAAGCTTAGATCATCAGCCTTAAGATGGTTATTTTCAGACAATTATGCTGTTGCTCAGTTTAACAACCATGGCAGAGTTTAACACTTTCGCAGTTGCATCCTATAAATACCTTGAGCTTCATGCAACCGAAATAATCGTCCATGCCCAAATGTGATCCTCAACATCCAAGGCCTCTTCCCTTCACCTCACTCGTAAAGCAAGCGAAATTGTGGTCGAAAATGAGTCTTTAAATATCAATGTAATTATAAATAAATTAAGCGTGTTAAATGTATTAAAACGCCCCATACTTTTCGTTTTCGTTTCTTTGTTGTTTCTTAACGTCCACATGTAATGGCCAATACAACAAAGTTTAACTGTGCTGGACAAGCATTACACATGAAATCCGTAAACATTAAGGGCTGAAACTTACAAAACGGCTGTCTTTGATGCCGTCGTCTTTTCATCATCAGCTAGCAGCGGCTACATCTTCGTTGAATTCGTTTTGCTAAAATCCAATGTGAGGAGGCAAAAATAAAAGCACCTGCAATTGTTGCCCTTTCGCATTTTAATCGTATCCGTAGTTCATGATAATGTTAAACATTGAATATTATCAGAAAATAAGGTTGAACATATGAGGTGTTTACAATGCGGTCCATATAATTGGAACGAAGTTTATTCCGAAATTTAATCCAGATTTTTGGAAAAAATTAGCCAACGTCTTTTCTCAACAAATTTTACAAAATCAAATTTAACTTAACCAAAATAATTTGAATTAAAAAAAAAAAAAAACTACATATATCAAACTTTTACTGTAAAGGTAAGTGAGCATAATTGCAATTTATGTACGCTTCATAATTTTATTGGCGTGAAATTATCGACGAATGCTGATTTACAACAATATCCACAACGAAGTGGGAATATATTCACGGGTCTTAAAAGTTAATAATAAGATCTCTGGTAATTTAAGATATTTTATTATGAATATAATAAAACAAAAACAACATTATCTTCATCTTAAGCGTCTTATTTAGTGCAGTTTAAAAAATAATTTAATTTATCGGTTTACTCAATCTATGTTTTTGGGGTAAAATTTCCAAAACCTGCAACAAAGTAATATTTTTTTTCATGGAGGTGAGGACTTTTTAGTTACAAAAAAATCATAGAGGGGGATGTAGAGAAAATGTAAATTAAGAATTAAGGTTCGACAGATATAACCATATAAGCTGCATCTGGTCTATGGAGACCCGCTGGCCATTATAACAACCCACTGGCCCCTCAGAGGGTGCATAAAGAGCCACTGGACTTCAGTGGGACTATAAAAACTCACTGGACTTCAAAAGGACTATAAAGACCCACAAGTCTTCAGTGGGTCTAGAAAACCCTATTGGTCCCACTAAAAATACTCACTGGACTCTAGTGAGACTAGAAATAACAACATACTGGCCTTCAGTGGGTATACCCACTGAGTTTATGTGGTTCCATTAGGACCCTCTGGTCTTCTGTGGATCTATAAAGATTCACTGTCACTAGTGGGTCCATAAAAAGCACTGGTCCTCATTGGGTTATATATAAAAAGTGGGCGAATAAGACCCGCTGGTATTCAGCTGATCTATAAAGATCCACTGGCCTTCCAGCTGCTCTACAGAGATCCACTAGCCTCCAGTAAGGACACACTGGCCTCCAGCTGGTCTGTATACACTCATTGGCTTTCAGCTCATCTATAAAAACAATCTGGTCTCCAGGTCGTCCACAAAGACTCCCTGGCCTCCAACGTGTCCATAAAGGCTGCCTGGCCTCCATCTCGTCTATAAAGACACTTTGGCCACCAGGTTGTCAATAAAGACCCACTAGTCTCCTGCTGATCTGAAAGGATGTATTACGTTCAAATAGACCCATTGGCCTATACTCCTTGGCCGCCAGCTCGGCTATAAAGACTTCCTGGCCTCCAGCAGGTCTATGAGGTCCTACTGGCCTCCACATGGTTCATAGAGACCCACTGGTCTCCAGCTGGTCTAAAGATACTGCCAAGATAAGACCGCTACCGTCAGAATTGCAGGAAGTTGCCAAACGAGAATTGGGTGAAGATCCCCAACGAATACCGGAAGATTTGCAAGCATTGAAGAGATGGATCGAACAACAGCCCCATTTAAGGGCACGCACCGATGATCAGTTTTTGATACAATTTCTACGTGGCTGTAAATATAGTTTGGAGAGAGCTAAAGAAAAACTGGATTTGTATTTTGCACTGAAATCCAAGTATCCCGATATGTTTGGACCAACCGATATAGATGAGCCTCGTTTTAGGGAAATCTATAATATTGGGTAAGTTTAATAACGAAAGTTGGAATAATATTAAAAATTAAAATAATGATTTTAGATAAATAATAATTATATCCGAATTTGCTTTTAGGTGCTACACCATATTGCCCACACCCTTGAATGAAACTGGGCCACGCATAGTGGCATTTCAATACCACTATGACCCAAATAAATTTCACTTAGAAGATATATATTATCCCACCAGTGCCATGATGGAACTGACCTTACTCAACGACCCCTATGCCTGTGTTCATGGCATTGTTTATGTTTTTGATTTTGGCAAAATTACGGCACGGCACTTGCTACAGCACACACCCAGTGTTTGTAAGAAAGTTGTTACCTTTTTCGAAAAAACTTTGCCGCTGCGGATACGAGGGGTGTACTGCTTTAATGTCCCATCGGTTGCAGTGCAAATAATTAAATTTATTATTTCCTTGTGTTCGGAGAAAATACAAAGGAAGGTGAGAATTGGGTCTTATTTCAGAACATCGATATGGAAGTGAATGCGAAAATTAAATAAGAAAAAAAAAAAATAACAAACATATTTGGAAAAGTTTTGAATGTTTGTCTGGACTTTCGTATCGACACAGACCAACCCCTTGAAATCTAAAAAAATCAGTTTTTAATGGTTTTTTATAATTTTTTCCAGATGCATATTTTTGGCCACGACATAGAGGAGTTGACCCAGTTTGTACCTTTAAAATATCTGCCAAAAGACTTTGGTGGTGAGAATGGTGTGTGCAGTGAGTTAACTCGGGAATATGTCAAGGGATTGGAATTGTATCGGGATTATTTCAAAGACAATGCTCAGTATGGAACTGATGAACATTTGCGTATTGGAAAGATGTTTGATTTGGAAGGCCTTTATGGTGTGGGTGGATCGTTTAGGAAAATAATAGTCGACTAAGAAATAAAAAGTTAACACAGAAATATAAGTGAAGGTATTTTGCAATTTTTATTAAAATAAATATAAAATTGTAAATCAATGGAAATTTAGCTTTTTTTCACTCAAAAATAACTATCCAAATTTTTAGGAAATCAGGACATTTTTCGGTTTTGGGTTCATTTCAATAAAAAAAAAACAATAAGCTTCTATGGCAACCCAAATATTTCACTATGCGGACGATCCTAATATCATTCTTGGTTTTATACCCTACACCAAATACATCAGTCCAAATGACCTGAATTTTGGCACATCCAACCGATTTCAGTCTAGAAGCAAGTACATCAAATTTGATGAAAATCTGCAATGCCCTAATTTTAACATTTTTTTATACATTATTATTTCGGGTTAATTGTGCACCAAATGACCAATATCTGCCCAAATGACCTGAATTTTCGTAAAACGAACCGTATTTAGCCCAGAAACAGATAATCAACTTAGAAAAAAACGGCATTCAACAACAGTGATATTTGGTGCCAGATACAGCACAGAAATACCTCGGTCAAATTTTATTACGATCGATTCAGATTTGGATATAGCTCCCATATATATCCTTAATCCGATTTCGGGTTTATTGTGTAAATAAAGGCTTATATCAGCCCAAATTGAGTGAATTTCGCAACGTATGTAGGTTTCCATGTTGTGGAACTCGTCTCCGATATATATTTTTATACCCTCCACCATACATAGTATCATCGAAATAATCATTTTAGACCCCACAAAGTATATATATTCTTGATTAGCGTAAAATTCTAAGACGATTTAGCCCTGTCCGTCCGTCCGTCCGTCTGTCCGTCTGTTGTAATCACGCTACAGTCTAAACGAATTAAGATAGGAAGCTAAAATTTTGCACAGATCTCTCTTTTATCTGCAGGCAGGTCAAGCTCTAAGATGGGCTATATCGATCCACGATATCGTATAGCCCCCATATAACGGTACCCTCAAGTCAAGCTCGAAGTTGGCCTATATCGATCTACGACATCGTGGATCGTGGCCCCCATATAACGGTAACCTCCGATATTCGGTATTTTGAAGATGTTAACCACATTTTTCAATGGAGTGGTCTGAAACTTCACACAAGTAGTTCCTTGTGAATACTTTACCGCCTGAAAGAGAATTGTCTATATAGGTCCACGATATCGTATATCCCCCATATAACGGTACCCCCGATATTCGGTATTTTGATAATTTTACCCACATTTTTCAACGGAATTGTCAGAAAATCCATACAAGGAGTTCCTTGTGAGTACTTTACACCCAGACATAGATTTGTCTTAATAGATCCACAATATCATATATACTCCCATATATCGACACCTTCCTATATTAGATATTGTAAAGATTTAAAATAAAATTTAATGGATTTTATTTTTTTGAAAATTTTCTAATTTGTTCCAATTGGTGGAGGGTATTCAAAGTTCGGCCTGGCCGAACTTACTGCTTTTTTGCTTGTTTTAATACAATCCTTCTCGAAGTGATATCATGCACTCTATAGCACTGTTATTTGGTATAAAGGATTAAAATGTCTCCGTCAAATTTAGTGAAAATCGATTCAGATTTGGATATGCCTCCCATTTATTAGTTCCCTCTGAAAACAAACTATTACTGCTCTGAAGCTGTTGACAGGTGGTATAATCTACTTCAAATAAATTCTCTATTTTTTTTCTTTTCTTAATTTTATTTTAATCTGTTTTTTTAAATAATTTTCTTAATCTACAGCTAATTTTCTAAATGAACCGCCCATACCGAATGGTCCATCCAAATCGATTGGCTTGCCTATTCTCAATGATTCATCGGTGCCATATTGGGCATTTTCCTTAAAGTATTCACGAAATGAGTCGAAGGTTTTATTATATTCCTTGATCAATTCGTTGAGTGATCCATTGTTGCCGCCATAATCCTTGGGCAAATACTCGAGAGGAATATATTTTGTGAGATCATTAATGTTGTTACCAATAATAAAGAGCTGAAAGTAAAAATAAAATATGTGAGAAGATTAGATAAAAATATTATAACAAAATTAAAGAGTATCGATTCTTTATGGAATCTCTCGTAACGCAATGTAAGATGACGGGAATGCATGTTCTACCTATTTCCTTGCTAAATTTTGAGTGAAAACGGAATTTTTCGAAATTTGGTACTTACAAATTTTAATGGTTGCGAATATTGTCTATATATGTATATGTTGTCATATCTGTATACCGAATGTGACATATGTTGATCCATATTTTCATATATCCATATTAAAGGAATTATTTGAAATTAGATATTTCCGCAATGTGTAGACAGTCATCTAAAAAATGTTCATATATGTCCAAGTCCCGGTATAACATATACGGTAGCTTCCGATATTTGGCTATGATGCTGAAGATGTATCCCTATATTCAATTTTTTTCAATAGAACTGATAGAATTATTTAGAAAGGGATCATAATTGCGAAATTCGACGTTTTCATAGTTTTAGCCAAATTTTACAAAGGAATTGTATGACGTGTTTGTATTGGAAGTTCGTAATACATACCTACTACTTGTAAAAATGAGTACATCATGAATTCAAGAAATTTCCAAATCGATCTACGTGTTGGTTTTAGTACAACCCTATAAAGGTTCTGCCACTTTTTGGAACTTTGAAGGTTTTGGCTACATTTTAGAACGTATTTGCAATGGCTACAATAATTTCGTATTTTGGCGTTCATTTGCTCCCTATAAAATTTTACGAAATAGGATAAAAAGTATTTTCCAACAGATTTGCCTATAATTTAGCAATATTGTAGCCTTAGTAAGAGCAAGTAAAAAAATAAAATATTATAATTAATATATAAAAAAATATATCTTCAATAAAAAATGGACGATATTGAGCCACTTATTCTGTAGGTACCCCACAAAAGTTTCTTTTGTCAAGATTGGAACTACTGTGAAAGTGGAATATATCCAAAGTTTTATGTACTAAAAATTAAAGTTTTGAAAAATATAACCCATTTAAGCAAGTAAAAAAGCTGTAAGTTCGGCCGGGCCGAAATGTGAATACCAAAAAAAATCCGGTAAAATTCTGTTAAAGTCTTAAAAATACCGAATGTTGCCGTTATATTGGTCTATACGACGACGTGGACCTGCATATACAACTTTTCTCATAAGCCATCACAATATTCAATTGCATGGAGGTTATAAAATGTGGACCTGCACAGACAATTTGCTGGCATAGGCTGTAGTATCCATTACAAACTTCAAATACAAAATTTGAAATAGTTTCGGTAAATAATGTCGCTAAAATCATCAAAATGCCGAATATCGGGGGGTTAGGGTCTATACGACAACGTGGACCTGCATAGGCAACTTTTGTCATAAGCCATTACGACATTCAAATGCGAAACTTGACAAAAATTTGGTGAATAATGTCGCTAAAATCATCAAAATACCGAATATAGGTAGGTACCGTTATATTGGGGCTGTACGAAAACGTTGACCTGCACAGACAATTTTCTGTCAAAAGCTATAGTATCCATTACGAGCTTCAAATGCCAAATTTAAAACAATTCCGGTGAATAATGTATTTAAACTCATCAAAATACCGAATATAGGGAGGTACCGCTATATGGAGACTATACGAAGACGTGAACCTGTACAAACAATTTTTTGTCTTAGGCTGTACTATCGATTACGAATTTCAAATACCAAATTTGAAACACTTCCGGTGAATAAGGTCGCTAAAATCATCAAAATACCGAATATCGGGAGGTACCGTTATATGAGGGCTATACCAAACGTGGGCTATTTTCAATACCAAAAGTTCTGCAGACATAATATACATTTGAGTAAAATTTTATTTACCTATTTCATTCCACGGACGGACATCGCTTAATCAACATAGAAGTTTATGCTGATCAAAAGTTGAGCTAGCTTCTGTGGCGGAACATAGTTTGTATAATTCGGGATTTCCGTATAGCCCCCATATAATTATGATTTTTGCCACATTTTTTCCACGGACTTACCTAATAGTACATAATGGGCTCAGCTCCGGCCCAGAAAATTAAAAAAATAGGTCTACCTTTTCCTATAGCACATATATAACGATACCTACCGATACTCGGTATTTTGATAATACCTGTCAAATTTACCCACGAAATTGTTTCAAATTTGGTATTAAAATTGGAGGAGGTTCCCGTTGTGGTATGGCCCCCATACAACAGCCCCACCCACTTTAGGGCTTTTTGAAAAGTTTAACAGTATTATCTAAAAGGTCTAACTGGTATTTGTAGTTTAAAGTGGAACGCGTTTCAATTCAAAACTAAATGTTTATTTTTACTTGTTAGTAAACGTAACTGTCATAAATTGCAATATTAGATATAACGTAAAGACGTCCCCCAAACAGGTTATGCATAAATAAATTCTCAGGGTCGGTACTCCGTATGATGCTTTCTAACTTGATTAGTTAATTATTAAAATGTGGGAGCAAATTCACGTTATCTTATTTGCTCATACTACGCATTGGGAATACAATTAACCCGAAATCGGAGGAGGTTACATATTGAAGATGTATCTAAATCTAAAGCGATTTATCAATAGGGTTCGTCCGGCTTTTCAAACAATCAAAAACCAAAAGGTTTTCTTTAAAAATTTTTCAAATTGACCTATAGCACTGAAAAACTTTTTACGGAAAGTCTAAAAAAATTACTTCACTTATGTAATCCTTCTGAATATTTTATATGAGCAGATGTCGGATTTTTATATCAATAACGACTCGCTTTTTCTCGTCCTTATTTTTGGAAACTTAGAGGAAAGGATTTCCCCCCCCCCCCCCCCCCCATCAGCTATATTTACTTACCCTCTGTCGCAACTTTTCCGAACACAAGGTAAATATTACTCTCAAAATTTGCTGGGCAACTGATGGTACATTTATAAAATAGGCAGCACGGATACGGCAGGGCATTGATTTTTCCAAAAATGAAATGACTTTTTTACAAAAAGTTGGAGTAAATTGCAGCAGGTGGCTAGCAGTACATTCACCGAAATCAAATACGAAAACAAATCCATGGATAGAGGCATGAGGATCAGTGAGAAAGGTTATTTCGAACATGGCACATGTGGGAGGATAAATATCTTCTATGTTGAGATTATCCGGCGAATAACTGAAACGTCCCACACAAATACGGCAACCATTGCCGTTTAAAGGCTTGGGCAGTAAGACATAGCATCTAAGAAAAATTGGAGAAAAAAATATTAAAAAAATCAAGACATTATAAAAATGTTTAAAACCTACCCCAAGTTGTGCATTTGTCTAAATTTCGGATCATCCACATTGCATGGAGAAAACATGTTGGGATATTTGCTCTTCAGCGAAAAATACAAATCCACTTTCTCTTTGGCTTTTTCCAAACTGTATTTGGAACCCCTCAAAAATTGTATGAGAAATTGATCATCCATCCGAGCCCTAAGATGTGGCTGAATTCTTATCCATTCTTTCAAAGCTTCCAAATCGGCTGGTATCCTAGACGGCACTTCACCCAATTCCTCAATGGCAACTTTTTGTATATCTTCCGGCAGTGGTTTTACTTGTGACATCCTCGTTCAGACTGAAATCCACTCAAGAACTGAACTGATATTTATAAAATTTGGTTAGTTGTTCCAAAATAATAAATAATTTAAATTGAAAAATGTAAATAAATTTTAAATTTTATAGTATTAAAAAACCTGTGGACATGCAGACCAACCGAACCTCCGAACCTAACTCAAGAAAATTTTAAAAATAATTTAAGTAGTTAGTGCTCATAGTAGCAGCATCCAGTTCGTTATTGCATATTCACAGCTAGAAACGCGTCTAATAAACATTTCGGGTTTATTGTCTTCAACTGGTCGCATGTTGTTAACTTTTCATTTGAAAACTGGAATTTTTAATATATTTGAGGTTACTGTTTTGATGTCGCTGCAATCAAATTAATAAAAAACTTGAATTTTAACTATGTTTGAATATGCACCCGAATCATTGAGTCAAATCTGTGAGTAAAATTCGAGTAAATAAATGTTTTTAAAAAATATTTCAAAAATATTAAGGGTATTCAAGAGAGACCACAATATCTATGGACTACATGAGAAGTTTTATCGATTTAAAAAGAATTAGAGAATTAGTATTTAGAGCAAGGAGACAGAAAAACACAAATGCAATACTACAGAGTGAGATGAAAAAACTGCTGGACCGCCATAACAGGCGATGGTCGCTTTTCACTCGTATTAATCGAACGTGACATCAGAATAAATGCCGAATATTAGCGCGAAAGTAAAAAAAAGGCGTTTGACTTTGTTGCAGTATTTCAGGGACTTGATCTTGCTTGTGGAAGTCTCTCCCCAGAAAAAATATCCCAAAATTAGGTTGATAATAGAGAAGCATCAGTAGTAACACGAGGACTTTAAAATTTTCTTCAAAACATATTCCGAAATCTTAAAATAGAAAATGTCAGATTATATATGCAAATCGTTTTAAAAAGTGACTGATGACTTGCAGTACGTTTGCATATAAAGGGGTTTGGATTAAAATTGTCACATTCACTACTTATACTCTAAATAAATCCTCTTAAAGTTGGTTAACCCTAAAAAAACTCTATTATAAACATGGCATTATCTTCATATAGGGCAACAAAAAAATGTCTACATATAAAATATATTTTTATACCCTACAACACTATGTGTTGGGGGTATTATAAGTTTGATTGGGCTAAAAATTATGTAACACCTCGAAATATTGATTTCCCACATAGGAAAGTATATATGGATCTTCCTATCTCGCCGAGCTGAGTCGATCTAGCTATGTATGTCCGTCTGTCCATCTGTCCGTCTGTCCATGTTAATTTGTAATCACTCTACAGGTCGCAATTATGGCCCGATCTTCACGAAATTAAGAATGGAGTTGGGGATAGGGCCAGAATAGAACCCTATTTCTTTTCAAGATGATCGCATAATATCTAGGGGTTGAAATGAAATTCATATTCGCAATATGCACTCCACAACAATGATATTTGATACCAGATATTAGACACAGCGTAGAAATACCTCTGCTAAATTGGTTCGAGTTAGGTTCAGATTTCTATATATCTTCTTCATCCGATTTCACGGCTGATTTGCACCAAATATATTATATCTGCCCAAATTGCATGGATTGTTGCACATTCAATCGAATTTATCCTGAAAGTCGATTTAGCCATGTTCGTCCGTTTGTCTGCTGTAATCACGCTAGGGTCCAAACGACATGCGATAGATAGCTAAAATGATGCATAAAGTTGTGTTTTGTCTGCAGTCAGGTCAAGTTCGAAGATGAGCCATATCGGTCAACGTTTTCGCTCCCATATAAGCGTACCTCTCCATGTTCAGTATTTTGACGGTTTTAACAACTCTATCTAACGGAATAGTTTATTATTCGGAATTTAGAGTTTTCCTTCTGTGGCAGAACTTTGTTTTTTTGGTTCCACATTTTTATATAGCCCCCATATAAATGTACCTTCCAATACGATTTAGCCATACTCTCTGACGGAAAAGTTTAAAATTGGGTTTTTAGAGTTCATAACATGTTCTTCCTTCTGTGGCAGAACGTGGAAGATAAAGACCCACGATAGCCCCCACATAAAAGTTTCTCCCGATTTTCGATATGGTGACGATTTTATCAACAATCCATTTTATGACAATCCGCATTAAGAATTCATAATATGTTCAACCTAATGTGACAGAACATTACCTATATAGGTCCCCATTTTCTTTTGGTTCCCATATAAAGGTACTTCCCAAAGTTTGATATTTTAACGAAATTACTAAAAGTTCAGCAATTGGATTCCGTAATGGATTCTTCTGCTTTTATAGAACAACAATTCACCCGATATTTGATATCTTAGCGATTGAAGCCAACCTTTTTACGGAATTGTTGGAAGTTTGTATTGTATGTTCCTAATAACAGAAGGGAGTCTTACCTCCGAATGCTGGAATTTCGGCATTCACAGACACATTTTTATTTTCCTAATTGTGAAGGGTATTAAAAGTTCGGCCTGGCCGGAATGTCTGTCAAGTACATATATACGTACAAAGTGGCGCAAAGTAAACTTCCGATGTTTTTTGGCTGTAATTAAGACATTAGGGGCCAATTGTAAAATTTATAGCATATGCTGATAGGAGGATTACTTTTGTGCCACCTTGTATTTGTTCTTACACTACTTTTTCGGTAATGATCTTCATAATAACAGAAATCAATTTTCAATTGATAACGCAAAACGCACTTTTCTCAAAACATAATAATTTGAGATTAGACACACCGAAATATATACTTTCCCACAAATAATTATTTCAATGAGCTATAAACGGAATGGCAAACTTTACTTAAATTCCATATTTAGTGAGTGTATAAAAATAATCAAAAATCCTGAAAACATCCCAATATTTATGTAAAAAAGTTCTTTTAATTTCGCAAATGTCATTTTTGCCAGTGAAATGGGTTGTTAAAAAGTCTTCAAATTACCGAAGAGTCGATCGTACCTATTTCCTGCAACAGAGGTTGTTATTTATTACGAGTTTTAAATACCAAATTTTAAAAAATCTGTAAATTATATTACTAAAATCACGAAAATTCCAAATATTCGTACGCTCTGCTCTATGGGCGATATAAGAAAAACAAATTCAAAATACCGAAGTTTAAACGATTATCTGAACAGAGCAATAATTATCAGTGTCCAATTTTAAACTATTCGGTTAGAAAATGTGTTCTAAATCGTAAAAAATATCGAATATCGGGAGGTCTCGAACGTAACCAGTTTCCTGACAAAATTCGAATGTGTGTTATCTGAATTTATGTAAATGAAATATTTTTTCGAAATAATGCTCGACTTTATTTATATACTAATCTGCCAAGTTCTGACTAAATTTTGAGAAAATTGTTTTATAATTTCTCATTAGTAAATAAAAGAAAATACTCGTAGTACCTCTCTCTTAAGCGTCGAGGGGTTTAAAACAATTTAAGAAAACAAAACTCAACACACTCCTCAACAAAGGGTTATGACAATAAAATCTCCATCATTTATCGAAATTAGTGTATATTCCTTCTCCATCTTTATTCCATGTTAATCCACTACCAACTGACGAAAAGATCCACCCACTCCATACAGGCCATCCAAATCGAACTTTTCACCAACTCGCAAATGCTCGTCAGTACCATATTTTGTATTTTCTTTGAAGTGATCACGATACTGTTCCAAAACTTTGATATATTCCTGTGTTAACTCACTGCACAGACCATTTTCGCCGCCATAATCTTTGGGCAAATATTTTAGGGGTATGTGTTTGATCAAGTCCTTTATGCCATGGCCCAGGACATGCATCTATGGAAAATTAGAGAAAATAACTATTTTTTGGGCCAACTTTTAAAAGTTTGAATTCACTTACCTTCTTTTGTATTTTCTCCGAACACAATGAAATGGTAAATTTCAATATTGGTTGAGCTGCCGCGGGAATATTAATAAAATAAACTCCGCGCACCCGAAGTGGTAGAGACTTCTCCAAATATGTTACCACTCTTTTGCAGATACTCGGTGTTAGTTGTAATAAATGTCTTGCTGTTAGTTTTTCAAAATCAAAAATATACACAAATCCATGTATGCCAGCATAGGGATCATTGAGCAGGGTCAATTCCAACATGGCACTGGTGGGAAGATAGATATCTTCTATGCTCATTTTATCAGGATCATAATTATATTGATAGAACAGGATTCGGGGACCATTTTCGTTCAAGGGCGTTGGTAATAGGGTAAAGCACCTTAAATTTAATAATTTGTCTTATATTCCATTAATAAATTCCATTTGCAATCCTTACCCTGTATTATGAATTTCCTTAAATCTAGCATCATCCACATCCGTAACTGCCAGCATTTGTGGATATTTGGTCTTCATGGAGAAATATAAATCAATCTTGACTTTAGCCTTTTCCAAACTATATTTACAACCTCTCAAAAATTGTATCAGAAACTGATCATCTGTGCGTGCTCTCAAATGGGGCTGTTGTTCTATCCACGTTTTTAGTGCCATCAAATCTTGTGGTATTCTATCGGGCACCTCGCCCAATTCTTCCATGGCAATTTTTTGCAATTCCGGTGTTAGTGGTTCTATTTGTGGCATCGTTCTTCATGTGTATGCTATATTTGAAAGTAATTGAAATTGTACTTATATTTATAACTTTTTTGGAGCTAAAATTTTTGACAACCCTACTTGAATCATTAATTATATGAGAGGATGAGAGGCATATGTCGTATTCATGTTATTAATAGCTTTCTGCCTCACATGCAATACCTCAGTCTACATCTGGAACACGGGCGCTTTCGTGATGGTATTTAAAAACACATTAAAATGTTTTGAAATATTAGCACAAATGATTTAAAATTCCCAAAAAACAGTTATCAAATAAAACAATGTCAATGCAGCTGTGCAAACACGAGCTATGAATTCTGTTAGGAGAAATAAGAGAACAAGAAAAAATAGAGTAACAACCGTCTATACTGAGCTTTTCATATGGTGCGGTGATGTGTTTATAGATGGATTTAATCTAAAAACCTGCAGGCAGGTTCGAAGATGGGCTAAATCGGTCCACTCGTATACACGATGAGATGAAAAAACGGCAACCAACTTCAGACTGCTGTCATTTCTATGCCACTCGTCCGACAGCTGCTAAAATTATTCCAGTGACAATTCATTATAGTGTTTACAAGCCTACAAAAGCATTTTGGTAAAAATTTTCCAGAGAAAAGTTATTCGTGATGGAATTCAAGCATGATTTCTTTATATTTGGCTGGAAAACCACAAGTGGCTATCGTTAGAGCACTCCAGTATTTAAATGTGAATAAATCGTTGTGTCTCGTACCATCGCTCATTACCGTGATCCTGGTAGCGTAGCCCGACGTCAAGGAAGTGGACGGAACAAAACAGCAACATCAGCAGAAATGGTTCGAAAAGTAAAGAAGCGACTTGATCGAAACCCGCGTCGCATTGACCGAAAAATGGCTCGTGAGCTGAACATATCACAATATTCCATTCGGCAAATATTGAAAAATGAACTTGGGGTAAAGCCATTGAAAAAATGAGTACCTTCGGATGGCCACCAGAACTTAAGCGCCGGCCATGGTGATGGTGTGGGCCGCCATACACAGCCGATGGTCGCTCTCCGCTCGTATTAATCGACCGTGGCATCAGAATAAATGCCGAAAATTATCGGAAAATATATCCTGAAGGGTGTATTAAAGCCTTGGGCACGAAAAGTTTTTGGCAGTAGACCTTGGATATTCCAACAGGAATCAGCACCATCGCACTCAGCATGCGCCAAACTAGAATGGTTACAGCGCACAATGGCCACCAAAATCTGGCATCAGAATAAATGCCGAATATTAGCGCGAGTATTATGCCGAATATTACAGCGCACAATGGCCACCAAAATCTCCGTATACCGATCCGTTGGACTATTGTGTCTGGAGTATTTTAGAAAGCATGGTAGGCACTACAAAATACCAACGTGTCGATCACCTAAATCGCCGGGAATGGGCAAAAATACCGCAGAGCAACATTCGGGCAGCGTGTGACTGTTCCATTGGCCACTTGAAGGCCACAATTCGAAAAAATCTAAACTTATCCTAAAATTTGTTGCTATTTCCGACATTTCTTGCTTTCATTCAATAAAATTAAAAAACAAGTAAGCAAAGGCTATAGTCGTGCGGGGCCGACCATGTGATACCCTACAACACTACAATATGTTAGAAACCCCCTAATGTCCAAATCCATTTTGAAAGATTTCGCTTTTGAAATTACCAAACATTTGCCCAATATCGCCGTCGTGCTTTTAGTTGTGTGGTCCATTTTACAACTAAATATAATCCAATGGTCAGCCGAAAGGCTAGAATTCTTCTGTGTCTTTTACTCTCTTTTCAGACGTGTCGATTGACTTCGATTGTGTAATCACGATTTTTTTTAGTTTTTGGTTCATTTGAAACCCTAAATATTTTGCGAAAGTAAGAGGTGCCTCTGTATTTCCAAATGTAGGCTCATCTATATGATATGCTTATCTACGATATTTGGCTATATTCGTCAACGAAATCAGCATAAAAAGGCAGAAGTTCGCCTTTTGTGTATTTCGGATATCGCCTGCAAGTAATGTTCTAATTTTTTCACACAAAAGTAGTCGTCCATTCTACCCGCTGTCCTTAATTCTAACTTCATGCGAGATTTCGTATCCATTAGTTTCTATTTGTGACCTTTATAACTGCTACAAAATCAGGAACATTTTTAGTTGTTGGTCCAGTTCAACCCCTAAATATATTGCGGACATCTTTGAAAAAAAAATAGGCCTAGCCCTTCTGAGTCTAACCCTGCCCTTATGAAAATTTTCGTGAGGATCGGACGATAATTGCAATCTATATAAATAACCCCAACCTGTGTTGTAAGGTGAAAAAATATCACAAAATATACACTTCAATATTATAAGTCAAATTGAAAAAATCACATGCGATAAAAAATATGAAAATATAAAAGGAACGAGATAGGAAGATCCATATATACTTTCCAGTATATATATATGGATCTTCCTATCTTCCATATATACCAATATTTCGAGGTGTTACATAATTTTTGGCCAAATCAAATTTATAATACCCCCAACACATAGTGTTGTAGGGTATAAAAATAGAAATTATGCCGTTTGACTTTGTTGCATTTTTTTATCTCACCCCATATAACTTTACCCTCCGATTTTTGGTATTTTCATGATATTAGCCACATTTTTCAACTGAATTGTCTAAAAATCCACAGAAAGTGTGTGAGTACATTACCCCCTGAAAGAGAATTGTATTTATAGGTCCACGATATAGTATATCTCCCATATAACGGCACCTTCCGATATTCGGTATTTTGATGATTTTTGCCACATTTTTCAATGGAATTGTCTGAAAATCCACACAAGGATTACCCCTGGAAATTCGGTATTTCAAGTTTCGTATATAAAATTTATTTAACATTTCTCCTGCAAATGCTCCACATCCTCGTATAGCCATCACATAACGGTTTTTATTTGAGCGGTATTTTTCGACGATATATATATATATATATATATATATATATATATATATATATATATATATATATATAAAAATATATATATATATATATATATATATATATTTTTTTTTTTTTTTTTTTTTTTTTTTTTTTGAAGAATTTCAAGTCTTTTCCGAATGGTGGAGGGTATAAAAAGTTCGGCCCGGTCAAACTTAGCTTCTGTTTTACTTGTTTTTAATGAAATTATCATTACACAAGGAGTTCCCTCTCAGTACTTTATCCTCCTGGAAGAGTATTGTCCACATAGGTCCACGTATCGTATATCCCCCATATAACGGTATCTCCCTACATTCATTTTGATGATTTTACCTACATTTTTCAATAGAATTGTCTGAAATTTTACACAAGAATGCACTTTATCCCTTGGGAGAGAATTGTCTACGTTTTCACATAACCCCATACAACCAAAATTATTACCATTTCGTACTCATAGGTACGAATTTCCAAAACTACATATATTCCTCAGTCCTAAAAAGCAATAGAAATCTTATCTCTCAATTTCAGAATTCTAGCTCTATTGGTTCCCCCAAATCAAAATTGGGGCACTTTTCGTGCACTTTTCGTGCACAGAAGTAGAAATTTCGAAAAATCCCTCCATATCCCAATCCTACACTCCGCCAGGATGTTAATTTCAAATTTCAGGATTCCAGCTCCATCCGTTCCTGCAAATTCAAATTGTGCCAAATTTAGTACCTCTTAGTACTTTTCGTATACATGAGTACACACTTCCAAAACTACCTCCTTACTTCGACTCCACTCGTCAATCTTCATTCCCATTCCCATAGTTGATTTCTGTACTTTTCGTACACTTATAGTGAGAATTTCCAAAAATCCCTTGGTACGTCAGCGACCCTCATTTCAAATGTAAGAGTTTTAACTCTACTGCTTCCTCAAATACAAAGGGTACCATATTTAGTACCTTTTAATACTTTTTGTAACATTCTAGTACGAATTTCCAAAAACCCAGCGGACCAAGAGTGACCCTCACCCAAAATTGCATTCGAAATTATATATTACAAGTGAAAATTATGCTTTAATAGAACAGTGTGGCTTTTTTGTTCGGGATACCGTAGTATTTTGTTGTTGCAAAATGGTCAGTCTTTATCCCTTTATTGTTGTTTTTATAAAAACAACATTTGTTTATTAGTGGAGAACGATGGTAATGTTTACCAGGGGATAAGGCAGGGAATACCTAGGTTTCGGAAAGAGCCACCAATCCTCATCAGTTCCCTTGTTTTTTGTCTGGGATATTATCCCCAGTAGTTATTTCAAAAATAACTTCTATGACAAAAATGCTTTAATTTATTTATCACGTTTCAATTATAAATCAAAATCTCCCTTAATATTCAATTTTCTAAGAATAGTGTCAAAGGAAGAAGTATTTTAGATCGAGTTTCAGTGTGAGTCTCTTAACAAAAGAAATTCGAATACTTAACATGAAGCATAGAAAATTATCATCAATTTCGATTTATAAAAAAAACGTTTTTATATTCGGCAAATGTAGTACTTTTTAATTGAAAATGTTGGAATCTTAAAGGGTCCAGAGGCTTAGGATTTTTTTATTGAACTAATCGTAAATTTCAAATGAAATTTCCTTTTCTTAATTTTTACATTATTGATTTTTCCAAATTTGTGGTTGGCTATTGGCAATGCAAATTTTTAAAACTGACAACCATGCAAAATTACCTACTTGCAATTCCGGGAGCTATCCAACAGCTTCGAGCCTCTTAAGCAGCTGCTTTTTCTGCTGAATCTGTTAAAAATTCTCGATTCCTTAAAACTTGTCCTTAAATTTCCATAAAACTAAGAAAACCACAAGAGAATGCAAATATTTTACCGTAAGCAAGGACATTGTAACAACGCCCCAAGACAAACAATACCAGAAACTGCTACTACAACAATTGGTCTAATTGTCCTGCTGGCTAAAAATGGAAAATTGCAAGAAAGCAAGAAGCAAAAAAACACCGTTTTTTCCAGGATATTGTTTTGTAAACATTCAATGCCCACCAGATATCCAATCACAAACAGAAAGACACA